ATCTATTTTTTTTTTTTTAAAAAAAAAAAATATTAATAATATTATATAAATATATATATATTTTTTTTTTTTTTTTTTTTTTTTTTTAGACATAGATGAGTGCGCTGTGGGGAGCCATAACTGTGGAGCGGGCTACGCTTGCGTCAACACACCCGGCTCGTTCTACTGCGACCTGAAGGTGGTGTGCAGAGACGGTTTCACTCTGGACTCTTCCGGAAAATGCATCGGTACGTCTTACTTTCGCTCTCTCAGTTAAAAGCAGCTCGTAGATTAAAGATGATTTCTCCCAAACTATTCCTCTCCCACCAGACATCGACGAGTGTCTGCTCCTTACCAACCCGTGCCGACGCGGCCAGAGTTGCGTCAACGCAGTCGGCTCTTACGTCTGCCTCGGGAATCCAGTCGTCTGTCCGCAGGGTTACCGTCCAACCGCGGACGGGACGCGCTGTGAAGGTCTGAGTTTAAGTCGTCTAAAATCCACCTTTCCTTTCAATTTCCGCCCGTTCACGTCCTCCCTGTCTCTTTCGCTCCAGACGTGGACGAGTGTCTCGTTGCCAACGTGTGCGGCAGCCACGCCTGCGTGAACCTGGACGGGTCGTACCGCTGCGAGTGCAGAGCGGGCTACCGCTTGAGCAACGTCACCGAAGCCTGCGAAGGTTTTCGCTCAGTTTTCGGCTCGTTTCTCTGAGGGGAATCGTTTACTTGCCGCGCATCGGCAAGTAAATGTGAGAGGTGAATTTGTTGTGTTGCTTTGTGCTCTTCAGACATAAATGAATGCAAGTATTACTCCTGGCGACTCTGCGGGCACATATGCGAGAACACGGAGGGGTCTTATCGGTGCAGGTGCATATCCGGCTTCAGGCTGGCTCCGGACGGAAGGACCTGCGAAGGTAAACTCTGTTACGCAACTGATTTCACATTTCAAATGGCTGATGCACCTCTTTCCTTTTTGGGATTATAAATGATATTATCACGACAGTTGTTACGACAGCAACTTTCACATAAAGAGTTAATTCAAGAGAAGCAGGCCCTCAGGATTACATGTCCTCTACTTTACCTGACATTAGGCACTAGGTCACTACAACACATATTTCCAGCTAAAGTACCAGCAGGCGGCAGAAAAGCCTTTTCAACAAGTGGTTGGCACTTTTTTATGTGAATTTATTTGCTTTGACTTTATAGAAGGAACAAATCTTTATGAAAGTAACATTTTCAGTCAGAGAGTATGTGACTCTGACTGAAATAAGTATTTTAAATGTATTTTATTTTTGACTGTCCCACCGTGTTCAGTATCTTGTGGCTGAGCTCTGGCTACCTTACTCGGTTACTGCAACGTTCTTTTTTCTCCTTCAGATATCAACGAGTGTCTGACCGGCCGTCACAACTGCCCCAGAGGTCAGGTTTGCCTCAACACCGAGGGCTCGTTTCACTGCCAGCGCGAAATCGCCTGCAACACCGGCTATAAACTCACAGGCAGCTTTTGCCAAGGTGGAAAAACAACCTCCAAAAGATTTCTATCCCACATTTAGATGCACTTTTGGTATCTAAATGTGGGATATCAAAAGTGTTCTTTTCATACTTTGTCATTTTACAACCATGTGTTTCAGTGTGGTTTAGTGGGATTTTATGTGACTAAAGAGATGCAAAGTAGTGCATAAAGGAAAACAATTGGAGTAATTTTCACAAATGAAAGTCAGAACATTGTAGAATAACCTTCAGCTGCAGTTGTTCCTACCAGATTTGTACTTGGCCTTTATGATGCTGCTTGTTATATTTGATTGGACTGGATTTCATTCTACCGGATCTTCCAGACTATAAATTGCTCCAGGGTAAAGGTCGCATTGTCAAAAAAAAAAAAAATCCCTCATGAAGAGTAAAAAAGTAGCTCCTGCTCCTGTGACTTATATTCCAGATAACACAGTACTTATTTAGTCTTATTGTGGAGGGAGTTAAATATAAATGCATTTTTCTCCGAAGCAAAAACTTTTAAATCATTTTAGTCCACTATGCTTTTTGTATTCATCTGTCAAACAAAATCCCTTTGTAACTAGGCAAAATTTGTGAAAGTTCAAGACAGAAGTAGAGTTTTTTTTAACCGTTTGCTGACAAATTACATCAATGTGAAAACATTTTCTAATATATTTGATTTTAAAAAGTAGTTATTGGATGCAGAGAATGCTATTTATTAATATTTTAGCAGCTTGTTAATGAGTTTTAGGGTTAGGGTTACATGTTGCTCTCACATAACCCCAAAAAGAAATAGTCAGACATCCCTGCTGAGGAGAAAGCCCTTCTAACGGATATTTCCCTCTGTCAGACATCGATGAGTGCGCTTTGGGGAGACATGACTGTGGGGCAAATTACGTTTGCGTCAACACGGCCGGCTCGTTCCGCTGCGAGCAAAAGCTGGTGTGCGGAGACGGTTTCACTCTGGACGCTGCCGGCGGCTGTACCGGTACGTTGAGCTTTCAACACTCCCAAGCGAAAGCAGCTCCCAGGTTAAGGGTCAGCTCTCTTAATAATTTCTCTTTTGCTAGATGTTGATGAGTGCTCTGCCCACACCAGTCCGTGCCAGCCCAGCCAGACGTGCGTCAACACGTTGGGCTCCTATAGCTGCCACGCCAATGCGATCACATGCCCACGAGGGTTTCATCTGAGCGTGAACGGCACACGGTGTGAAGGTAGTTTAAGAAATGCACGGCTGCCCATTCAGGTCTTTATTGTGCTTATGAATGTTTATTTATGTGGGCTTTATAAATAATCTGAGGGTTGAGAGTAGGAGTGGGCTTTTATAATGACAAATTTCTCATAAAAATTTGGATTTATCATTGACTCCATAAATTTCAGGTAATGATGTTGGATAAAAGACAGAACTCGTATTGTTTTGAGATGATATTTTTACTATTCTCTCCATGTGTGTTCCACGAGAGTATCAATAAATATCAAAAGTAGTATGATTAAATGCGGTTACTGTGTGCAGTTTGGTGATATAAATCACAATTTTGTTTTTAAGTATCTGGACAAGATAATTTCAAAAGTGGGGAATTGTTTTCAAGAACAGTATTTGTGTTTGTGGTGTCATGGCAACCAAACAGTTACCTAAAAATGAAGCTTGTTTCTTTATTAACCATAACTTGTTGTCGTAGTAGTACCACAAAATAATGCGATAAAATCCAAGGTCCATATCGTCCAGCCCGAGTTTATCCAGCAGTTTTATGTGATATAAACAACCATATTTAATCTTTATGTTTTAGGTCTTATGATTTTTTATGATTGTGTGTCTGGTGAGCCATTTCATCCTGGATTTGGTCATATATTTTGAGTTAAAATGTCCGGAGATTTCTTTATCAACATTTTATGGTGATTCAAAAGGTTACTGAATCCTTGAATCACTGATTCTCATCCCTTCTCAGTCGTTGCTTAAAATGTTCTTCAGGACATTCATTCTCTGTTGTAGTTTTTATTGGTGAAAAACTCTTAACTTTCAATAATATGTTCATTTTTTTTTGTTATTTATTGCAATACAGATGTGAATGAGTGTCGGGTTGGCAATAAGTGTGCCAAGCATGTGTGTGTCAACCTGGAAGGACTGTACCGCTGCGAGTGCAGAAGTGGCTACATGTTCAACAGCGTCACCAAACTGTGCGAAGGTACAGAACCAAGAACTTGATTAATTTTGCTAGAGGACTAACAGCTTCTTCATGTGACAGAATTATGAATTTGTTTGTCGTTAAAGTCGAATAATAGTTTTAAAGTTACTTTTCTCACCCCGTTCTGTTCAGATATCAATGAGTGCACCCATTATCCCGGTCGACTCTGCGCCCACAAGTGTGAGAACACAGAGGGGTCGTACCGATGTAGCTGCGCAACCGGCTTTAAGCTGGCCTATGATGGCAGAGACTGCGAAGGTAAATATATTTTTCAAAGAAACCTTTGTCATTTTTTTTATTTTTTATTTGGTCTTTTACCAAACTTCCGCCTGCTTGACGACAGACATCAACGAGTGTGAGGACAAACCCTGCAGCCAGGAGTGCACCAACGTCTACGGCTCATACCAGTGCTACTGTCACCGTGGTTACCAGCTGAACGACGTCGACGGGATGACTTGTGAAGGTGTCGTTGCTGCAAAGCAGAGCAAGACGTTCTCGAGAACCGAAGATGGCTGTGTTAATCTCTAGAAGATGTTTTATTTTGGGAAGTGTGCCAGGTGTCCTAACATTGTTTTTTTTTTTTCTTTTTCTTTTTGTCGTCTACATCCTCTCAGATATTGATGAATGCACACTGCCAAACGTGTGTTCTTACCAATGTGTCAACATGCCTGGTGATTTTAACTGCACCTGCCCCAGCAGTGGTTACACACTCTTGTACGACGGACGTACTTGTCAGGGTAAGGGAGGAAAAGCATCTTAAAGCATCTTCAACAAGCATTTTAAAGGTATTATTAGACCAGAACTCCTAGAAATACAGCAGAATATCAGGAGGGGAAAAAAACAGCAAGTCAGGGATCTTGTGGTTCACTCTAAGCAATTTTGAGCATCACTGAAATTAATTGCTGTAATGGCCGGTAATATGAACTAACCATTATCTGCTGCATGGGGTTCCAAGAGTTTTACTTTGATTAAGCGTCTTTGATCTTTGTTTTTTATTTTAGACATTGATGAATGTGCTGCAGGAACTCATTCTTGTTCTGCCAAGGAGACCTGCTTTAACGTCCAAGGAGGATTTCGCTGTCTGTTCTTTGAGTGTCCTCCAAACTTCAGCCGAGCAGGAAAGGGGTAAGAAACCAGAAGGCTGCTAAAGTCAGGAGATATTTGCCTGAGATCATCACACAACAAACAGAAAGTTTGAATTTGTGTTCTGTTCATTTTTCCAATGTCTCTAAGTGACATTGTTTTAGATTTTCACAGCATTGCCAGCATCGGACGACTGGCAGGTGTTGGATTCATCGCTTTTAGCCCTGTAGCTATCAATCACTAATATTAGAGCATTAAACCTCAACATGCTCGCTACAGTGATTCCTTGCCTAAATGAAAGTGACACAACCTTCACATTCTAAACTTCTGCTTTTCTAACGTCCTGCTCCATCCGGCTGTGCTGTAGCACTATCGCTAGCTTAACTAGAACAACAGGTTGAGATCCAGTTTCGTCTATCTTTTAATTACTGATCTCTAAAGCAGCTTAAGATTGTTTTAAAGCATTTTAAATGTGTAAAATTTGAAGTTCTTTGTCTTAAATATATATATTTTTGCTACACCCCTCAGCCACCACACGGGGGCAGAGCGACTGCAGTTCTCCACTTCCCAAAATTTGACGTTTTGGCTCTTTATTTGGTTTTGATCTAGCAGTGATAACCACTTACTCCACATTTTCAGCTGTTTTTGTGATTAGACCTACCTTAATTGTTCATAGCTGTGAGTTTGAGCGATCAGAATTAGTTCTGTGTTGGAAAACTATCAAATCCGTATTCTATATTGAACACTTTGATTTACAAACACCTGGATATTGAAGATTTTGACAAAGAGCTGGATTTGGAGCACTACATGTCCGGTATCAGTTTTTCAGCTTTATATTATTTCTCTCTACTTCCAGGCAGATCGTTAGCCTCTTTTCTGTTTATTTTTTATGTACATGGAGTCAAAAAAATTGACAGAGAATAATGTCTCTCTGGTCTCCTTTTCACCAGTTCTCCTGTACTTCCTCTGCTGTGGTCACTTCTGAAAACCAAAATTTCCAAACCGAGCGATCCAAGCTGCCTTACCAAAACATCAAAGAGGAACGCGGTCTTAGTGGACAGCAAGAAAAATAAACGTGGCATTTATTTTGGGGCACCTGGGGCTCGGCCAATTCACCGAGGCTCAATTATTGGTGGGACGGTGTTGTAGTTAGCATGATTAATGGGCTTTTCAGTGTTGGCGCTGGGTGGCTATTGATTCATTCGCTGAAAGCGATAGCGAGTGGCCACTGCCTGCGTTGGTCAGCAGGATAAATGTAAGCAGATATACCGTCTTGTCGTGGTTGTTTTTGTGGGCCGGGGTTGCGTAATTCGGATGTATCAATAATATAGAATAAACTCATACATTTATCATTAGATTCTCCACCTTAAGGTTTTCTGTTTCACTTTGGTGGCAGAAATTCATCACTGTCACTTTGACCTCATGTCTGGCAAACACCTTCCAGGAATGTCTGGATTTGGGAGCAGGGTTCTGCAGGATTCACTTCAAAATTACATTTTTGTATTCCTCCTTTATTGTCAAGAACCCGCTGCCCTACTCTGCTTCTTCACCTTTCCTCGTCTCTCAGATCCGCAGGTAACGCGTCCGCCGTGGTGCGTTGCGTCAAAGCGTGCCAGGAAAGCGACGGCGACTGCGCTCGCGACCGCGTCCACATCATCACCTCCACAGCCCTGTCCCTGCCTACCTCGCAACGCTTAGAGGGGCCCGAGGGTGAGACCGGCAGAAGAAAAACTTTTAGTCTTCAGCCAATCAGACGACCCCACTTTTTTTTTTCTTAACTTTACCTGTTTGTTCCAACAGAGATCGTGTTGCTGCGGACGTCCGCAGAAGCGAAACAAGATCTTCTCCCAGACGAGCCAGATGTGTTGTTTGACATTTTAGCAACCGACGAGCTGCTCTCTTTCGACGTGATAAAGGGTGCGCAAAACGGCATGGTTGTCGGTAAGGAGACACGGGATTTCGCTTTATAAAGTCACATTTACTTTGTTGTCCTAATTACAGTTTTTTTTCCCCTCAGGGGTAATCCGCCAGATCAAGCCCGTATTGGGCCCAAAGGAGCTCATTCTGGAGGTGACTATGAAGTATGTCCAGTCAGGAGTCGTTTCTCAACAAAACATCGTCCTCATCCACGTCTTCATCTCCGAGTTCTGGTTCTGAGAAGGGAATGTAAATGTTTTCTAGATAATTCTACTGGAAAAAAATTAGGAAAAAAAAAACATGACATAATTAATGTAAATATACATCGGCAAGGAAAATGGTGGCAGATTTCAGTTAGTGTGGAAGTTGTTTGCATACAGTGAATTCAGTTACAGGTGTTGATGGTAACCAGTGCAGGTTACTAACATGAAAGGAGAGATTTTTATGCTCCACAGTCTTCAGCCTCTGTGAGGTCGTATGTATGCACAGCATGGTTTACGTTTCAGGCAAACTGCATTTTTTATTTTTTATTTTTGCAAAGATGATACTATGCCTGACAGGAAATTGCAGATTTACAGATGAACGTTTTTGTCATTCTAAATGATCAGATGCAAATAGCCATAAATCTCCCAAATATATTATGAAAGTTACTTGGAAAAAATATAAAAACCAGAATATTTTTTTAAAATTTCCAGGCGAATTAGAGTATTTCTGTGATTCTTTGCGAACAACATGAAGGATTTTGATGTTAAATATGAAATTTGGAATCCGTGAAAGTGATCATTTTGCCCCATCTTCTCACACATAGATTGATACTTGTAATTTTTTAGTTAGCTCTAGTCACTGCGTAACTTTCTAGAGACACTTGCTCATACAATGCTGTACTTTCATTTTTTCACCACAAGGTAACACAATGCTGCACTCTCATGCATAAATGGGTATGGACTCAATTTATTTTTAAAGCAAATCTGTTTACTGTATATGTTCATTTCTTACCAAATGCTTAGCTAAAGCTTTTGTCTTTTAGCCATACAGTGCTATGTTTTGTATGTTAGCAATATGCTAATACCTTGCTAAGCTTTCATATGGTAGCAAAACCTTAATACAAAGCTTAGCTGTCATTTGTTTTTCAAGTGCTAACGCAATAAGGTTTTATCTTATTAGCCAAATGCTAATACAATCCTAACCTTTCACTTGTTAACCAGATTCTAATACAATACTTAGCGTTCATATGTCCTCCAAATGCTAGGAAAATGTTTAGCTTTCATTTGTTCAACCAATGCTAATACAACGCAAAGCTTACATCTGTTAGCAAAATGGTAACAAAATGACAAACTTTCATTTATCAGCCAGATGTGTTGAAATATTTCAGAGCAGAATTATCATAAAAGATGAATTGAAAAGGTTGCCAGTAATTTCTTCTTTACATCATAAAAGTTTAGAGTTTGTTGCCTTTACTGTTTGTACTGTTTGTGAAAAGGTTTTTTTTTTTTGGGGGGGGGCTAACTTCCTTTTTTTGTGTTATTACTTTCTTGCCAAAAAAAATTGTAAGCAAATAAAGCACACAAACTGTCCTCAAACATTGCATGCAGATTAAACATACTTTGCAAACTGTTATCACAACAAAGCAATTTACTGAACTGGGTTATAGAGTACACAGCATTTCACTTGTCTCAATGTCACCCTCCTGTGCTGTCAAGGTTCTGTCTAAGGTATGACATAACTATTGGCAGAAATTTGGCGCAGAGCGTTTTGTATGCAAATAGAGCTCGTTTTGTACTCGCGGATAGTTTGTGAGATAAGTTTTATATGTGTGCAACATGCTTTCTTTGTTTGCAATGTTTTTTTGGCAGAACAATTTGTGAAACATATTTTATTTGTGTGCAGCATGCTTTATTTGTTTGCAACGTTTTGGCCGGAAATTAACTCCACGTTTTGTGGGCTTGCTTCTTCTGATGCCAGACTTCAGCATTTAAGTGCTTGTATTTAACTGAAGCAATTGTGTTTTGTACAAGAATAAAAAATTTGTGAAACCATCTGTGAGTAATAAAAACCTTCAGTAGTGTGCTGTTGCATTCATGTTTTTTTTCCCCCCCCCCATAAATACTGTCTTCTGCAACAGACTAAACCATCCATCAACTAGTTGGCATGACTGAGGTTTCCTACAGTTCTAAAATCCAATAGAATGCTTTCCTGTAATCCAACTGCTCAGATTCCTCCCATCATGCTGCTCCGCTTCCAGTTTGTGGGGGTATTTCCAGTTATTCCACTCCAGTGTATAAATAATGGGATTTCTATAACTGGAAAATTTGCTTCTTCAAATAATACTTCTTTAAACTGACAAATTGCTTGAGGTGGAAGCCTTTTACCATCCCTAATCAACTCTACTAAACGAGAAGCTTCCTCAAGCCACTGCTGTGCTGTTTTTGGCTGTGTGGAGAAACGGAGGGAACTTCATAGATTTGTGATCTGAAGTGTAACGCAATTCTTCGAAGTCACAAGTGATTTCCATGTGATTTTGTTGCTCCAGCTGTAAGGTTTGCTCCAACGCTGGTTGGGGAAATTGCACATTCACTGAAATAAGATCTTGCTCCACATGCAGACTTTACCGTGCATATTTGAATGTTCTGATTTACCTGTGTCATGTTGAAGTGCTTACAGGGTTGCTATTTGTCAAACTTCACATCCTTCATTCCAAATGCCATCATTTATGACTTTTAGGGGATAATTGAGACATACCTTTTCTGTACAGACCACATGAAGTTATTTGCCCCTTTATGAATTTCTTGTGTTTTTGTCTCACGGGTTTCAGATCATTTAAGACATTTAAATAAAAAAAAACAAAGATAACTTCAGTAAATGCAAATTGAAGTTTTCAAATACTGATTTCAGATGTTACTGGGAAAAAGCAACGCTTAAACCTAAAAAAATGGATGTTTTGTCTTTTTATAGATTTTTCAAACCCACAGTTATAGCAAAAATATACAAAAAACCTTTGTGTTAAAGTGAAAACTGACTTCTACAAAAATAATGACACTTGAATAAAAATACATAACATTAAAAATGATTTGTAAGACAAATAGTTTAAAAAATTTTCTGCCTCATTAATTTATTATATATGTACATGTAAATAAATACACATTTTATTACGGCATAATTTTAGTTAACTGCATTTTAAAAAGCATTTTTTTGTTTTGCGCTTGATAATGCGGTACTTCTGTCACTAAAACCAGAAGGCGGCGAGTCAACACATGCAAACATGAGCACATGCTTAGACTCCGCCTACGCGATAAATTGAGCCAATAAGAAGTCAGAGTTTGGCCTGCGTGTCCCGCCCACATTCATGACGCAGCTAGTGAAACATGGCAGATTCTACCGATGACAAGCAGAAAATATCAGCGGTTCTCGCTGACATTTTGAATGAGAAACAGAGCTCTGAACACTTGCAGGTGTTGGAGACGTTTACAAGTGCGTTGAAAGATGCAGAATACAGGTACTGTTTGATTCAATACTCTCTCTTGCTTTAGTAAAAACGTGAAGACGTTAGCTCGGTAGCTAAGCTAAAGCTAGCTTGAAGTGTGTTCAGTTTAATGTGATGCCCGGAAAACATGTTTGGTTGTTTTTATTAATTTATGCCTTTCTCCTATTGATACACTGTTCGTAAATTGTTGGTTTGAGAGCAAGTTCAGCTGCTTCCCCTCAGCATGAACGAAGTTTATTACAGTAAGCTTGACTGAAATATTACTGTCTCACGAGGCAACAGTAATAAAAAAAAAAAAATATGAAGGTTAATGAGTTGCCCTGTTCTAGTAAACTGTAATTTTAGTACACGTAAACACAGAATTGCGTTTTATGCTTCTTCTCTAAACCGCAGTAATTTTCTACTATCTGAAATCTGTTAGAAGCTGCTGTGCTACTTTTCAAGGAGGAAACAGTTTGACATCAAAATGGACTGGAAGGTTGCCAACCAAGATAGAAACATTGAGCCTATTCTAAAATCACCACCTTCAGGGTCTTTTGAAACCTAAAGCAGTCTATCTTGACCAGTAAAAATCCATGTGAAGAGAGCTTTTTTCTCTGGACAAGAGAAATATTGATCTGCTCTCTAAGTTAAATTGAGGATTTCAACACTAATTATGTCAACACCACTTCTAGTATTTAAGACGATTGAATGGGTTGTTTCACAAAGATGGTCATGGCATAGAAATATTTTCTATGAGGCTGCAAATAAAAGGATATCATTTTTGGTTTTGAAATCTCATCAAAAATTAATTAATTTTCTCTCAAACTCTCCTCTTCGCAGGGATGCCGTGGGGGAGGACGTTTTCTCTGATCTCCTCCAGGTCCTCACCAGGCTGTCTGAAGGCATGCAGAGTGCGAGCGAAAGCGGCGATGACGACGCGCGGCCCTCTGCCCTGCAGCTCCAGCTCGCAGCTGAGTGCTTCAGGTCCCAGAGGAACTCCTGTGTTCAAAGCCCACGCAACCAGAAACTCCTCAGGTGATTACGCCGAGAGTGCAGCGGCAGGAAGATGAGCGCTTAAATGGAGCTGCCAATCCGCCTCTTCTTCCTGTTGCGTCTGATTAAAGCTGGTAAAATCCAGTCGCACAGTGAGACTCTAAAGTATTCAGACCCAATGAATCTCTTCACATTTTGTTCTGTAAACTGTAAATGTTGAGATTTTGAGAGTAAACTACAAAATCTTCCAAATCTAAAGCCAGTGAAAGTCTGAGACATTCTGATGAGGTGAGACTGCTGAATATGTGTTGGTGTTGCTATAGCAACATGCTTTCTACCACCTTTTAGAGGAAAAACAAAATCACACTTGTACTAAAACACAGTGAACTGTAAAGAGACATGCCAAAAATCTAAAAGAAAGAAAGTCTTTTTCTATGGAAGATAAACATTTTTCTCAACTTTATTGTATAATTTGGAAGATAATGACGTGTAAAAGAAAGAAAGTCTTTTTCTATGGAAGATAAACATTTTTCTCAACTTTATTGTATAATTTGGAAGATAATGACGTGTAAAAGAAAGAAAGTCTTTTTCTATGGAAGATAAACATTTTTCTCAACTTTATTGTATAATTTGGAAGATAATGACGTGTAGAGCTGCTGGTTTAAATCCCCATAAGGCATTTTAATCCAGCAGGTGGGACAAAGTCAAAGCCAAAACATTCCAGATTCCACTAAACAAAGCTAGAAATTGCTTCACTTTATCATAATCCAAATGTTATCAGTTTATTAAATCAGTCATTATTCAAAATGTATTGGAATAAAAATAAATGGTGTCAAACTTTTGATTTAAGAAATGTGATTATTTAATCAGAGCCTTTAATCCTGATTATAGTTTTTAATCCCATCTCACCTCTAATCTGCTTGTCCAGCTCTCCCCTGTGTTTAACTCTCATTCACTCCGACCAGATTTACTATAGCTGCTAAACAAAAGCATTTCCACATCATAATGTATCCATCACCGTGTTTCAGAATCTCAAATGGGATTTTTTTTTTTTTTTTTTTGTAGCCTTCTTTCAAGAATGCCCTTGACTCTCTAATTATGTGCTACTTTGTGTTTCTCTGTTGTTTTTAAAATCCATTTAAACACGTTGGCGTTTGCGGTTGTTGCAAACAGAATGTGAAGAAGTTCAATAGTTGTGTTGAAGGCTCAAGTGTTGGTTGGTAAAACAATTTGGAATTCCAGTAAACTTAAATAATGCTGTTTTTGAGGTACTTTTATGAATACTTTGCACTTTTTATTCTCTAGGGAGCTTGGATTCATTGGTATATCCCTTAAACTCCTAAGTTTTCTTCAGACCCTAAATTTGGAGACCAAAGACGGCTTATATGAACGTAAGTCTGATGCAGTGTTTAAATTATGATAAAAAGGGGAAAAAAAAAAGATGACTACTGCGACATCGATCTGTGTTTTATTTGTTTTTCTGTCTTCCCATCTAATCATCTACTCATTTGTCTCTGTCTGCGGCTCAGCTCTTCGCTGTGGGATCCAGTTTCTTGGAAACCTCGCTGTCGGAAACCAGATGAGCAAGGATGAAGTCTGGCGGCTCAGCTTCCCTGACGTCCTCCTGTGAGAACGGTTTTATTTTTATTCAAAGAGAATAGATGCCTTTTTACTGTTTTTTTTTTTATTATTTTTTTTTTTTAGCTCTCATAGACCTTATGTAGCTTTGTTTAAACCAGATTTGTGTGTGAACAGGCAGCTGCTCTGTATTGACGATGAGAAGGTGGTGAACTACACCTCTATGGTTCTCCACACTTGTCTGGATGAGGCCAAAGTGGAGGATCTGTCAAAGCCGCAGAACATCAAGCTGGCTCTCAAAGTGATGGAGCTGTGCAGGACCCAGCCTGACCTGGACTGGACGTAAGCGTGGCTTCCAGACGTTTGAACTCATTATAATAACAAAATACTTAGAGAATGTTTGTTGAAGCTGCCAGAGCCTGAAACTACTGAGGAATTGCTGCAGGGTTTTCTTTTTTTGACAGTTTTATTTTTAAAAAAAATTGGATTCAGTTTGAATAATATTTACTAGAAATCAAAGGGAGTGGGCACAGAAAAGATTCTCCATCAATCTTAAGACCACTGAAGTGTCAGAATAGCTGTGGTTATTCAGGTCTGGATTGATTTATTGGATAAACGGAGAGAAAGCAACCATAAATCAAAAGTAGTTTTAATCCTCTGCCGTAAGAAACTGCAAACAATTATTTATTTAGTTATTATTATTTATTTATTGAGTTTGCTTAATGCCTGGCTTTAAGTCTAAATTTATGGTAAACCCTGGTAAAGATGTTGACTTGAAATCTGATATTTTAGAGATTTCTCTTTTAGTTCACCATCCTCCTTTTCTTAATCTGATTACAAAATAAACACGGGTCTGTCTGTGAGACCTCCAGTTGTTTAACCTTTGCAAATGTTAGTTTTGGTAAGTACGTCTCCTGCCCACGTCCAGCTTCTTTTATGGAATGTTCTTTTGTCTTTCCGATTTCCAACAGTCTGCAAATGAAGTCTACTTTTTTCCTTTGCATAGTTGTAATGGAAGATATTTGTTCCTC